CTGGGCTCCGGCGATCCTTCCACCTCAGCCTTCCAAGTAGCTGGAACTACAGGTGCGTGCTACCATGCCCGGCTAATTTTTCTATTTATTGTAGAGATGAGGTCTTACTTAGAAATCATCCATACACACTCTTAGGAGCACACCAGCACTGCTGAACCTCCCCAAGTCTTTATGGGCAGAAGTATTCAGATCCAGTCTACAGTACACTCAACTGCAACGTTAACATGTTATACAGCAAAGTGGCATTGTGACCCAGAAGTGACATTCCTATTGCCACCACCATCCCTTCCATTTTGGCATTATCTATTATCTCTGCTCCTCCCCACATCCCTGTGACTGATTGGCAGTCAAGTATCAGAGAGGATGTGTGACCAGGATATTTAACTAGAAAGCACCAGAGATGAAACTCCAACTTGTCTTCTGAACCCAGCTCAGGGCTTGTCTCACTCTCCCATCTCCCAACATGAAGCTCTCCTTAAAACCAACCTCACAGCCAAATGGCCAAACTACATGTTCACATGAGGGAGGAGGGGTGAGAGCTGCAGTTTATTCCCTGAAAGTATAATATTCACAATCACTCTTAATAGTCCCATTAATACTATAATCATTATTACCAATTACTATAATTACTATTAGTAATTATACTTCTCTTGTAGACACAATAACCCTTAATGTATTTTTGGCATTTTACATATACATACTTCATTTTTCTCCCTTCTTTCTCAAAGGGCACAGTGCTAGCTAACTGAAGTGAAGCAACCATCACACTGCACCACTGGTGATGTTTATCCTTGCCATAACAAAAGGCAGTCTCTTGCTGTTGAGGATTTTCTTGTCATTTTTATAAAATGCAAAATAGTAGAATAGAATGGCACAAACACAGCTCCAAAAATAATGACAAAAGCAGCTTCATTTGGGGAACTGCAATGTCTCCATAGGATGGCCTAAAGTGGTCTTCATCTTCTAATCACCAAAATTCTGCACACACAGAGGGTTAGATTTATCGATGAGTAACAAGTACAAGTGCTGATGTACAAAAGCCTGAGGAAAGAGGTCAGGGACCCCCTGCACCTGGCTTTCAGGTCTGTCTCTTCTACTTATTAACTTGACTAAAAATCAAGAGAACCTCTCCCAGCTGAGGGTTGGAATGCCTGTTCACAAAGATGCTGGAATCTACAAAGAGAAGAGGGTGTGACTCACTGCTCTCAAACAGAAGCACTCGAAACCCCATGAATATTTACCAAAAAGTTGTGCCAACAGCTACAAAAAAATTAAGAAAAACAAACATGGCATACCTTCCAGAAACATCCATTTTACTCAAACATTCTAGTAAGGAAAGGTTGAACAAATGAATCAATAATTTAAAAGTGGTTAATATTGAAACAAATATATATATATATATATATATAGAGAGAGAGAGAGAGAGAGAGAGAGAGGAGTAAAATGCAACTGTTGAATTTTTAAGCTAAATTTCCCATCCTTACTTGTCTAGGTCATTTCCTGTGATGCTCTTAGACGTGGGGGTGGGGAGCAAGGGATGGACTTTCTCCACTTTCTCATAAAGATGGTCTTGGGAGAAAGTGTGAGGCTGGCAGAGATTTCAGTACCACAATGGCCCTTTGTTCTGGAGAATTCTCTTCAAAATCAAGAGTCTTAGATTTTTGTCAGATCTATGTAAAGGTAAATGAAGTCTAGGCACATAGAATTCCACCTCCATGCCACATACTCTGGTACAGGAATTACTGAAGCTCTTTCCTCACTGCCCTTCCCACCTACTCCCCTGCCTCAGGCACAGTCCTGTCAGGCAAGCTCAGGCCACTCAGATACTGAAGTACATCACTGACATTTTTTTAACCCCCATACTGATTGGTAACATGTTCAGTATTTACAAATTTTTTCATTAAAACGGATGTCTGCATCACTACTAAAGAAAAATGAGCTTACCAGTTTAGCTTGTTCCTAAAAAAGTTTCATTGTGAAATATAGTTTGAAATGCATAATTGTGGTACCAGCCTCCAAGATGGCCCCCAGTGATCTCTGCCACCCAGTCTTCAAACACTTGTATAGTCCCCTCCCACATTGAATAGGGTTAGCATGTGGACCCAGCACAATATTCTGAAATGATGGAGTGAGTCTTCAAAAGCTAGGTCCAAAGACTTTGCAGCTTCTATCTCTGTCTTGGGAGGGAAACCGAATGCCACAATGTGAGGGCACACTCAAGAATCTCCGCAGAGGTGCACATGGGAAAGAACTGAGGCCTCTTGCCAGGCCTCCTGGCAACAGCCATGTGAGTCAACCATCTTGGAAGCCAAGCCTTCAGATAGATGGCGGCTGCTTCAGTTGGCATCTTGACTGCAACCGTATGAGAGATTCCAAGTCAGAACCACCCAACTAAGCCACTCCCAAATTCCTGATCTATACATAGAAACCATCTAAGATAAAAAATGTGTGCTATTGTCTTAAGTTGCTAGGCTTGAGGTAATTTGCTATGCAACAATAACTAATATAATAACATACCTCAACTTAAAACCTAATAAAATGAATCCCTGTACCTAATACCCACTGGTATTTGGTTTTTCCTTTTTTGGAAGCCCTGTGTCCTTCCTGAATGCACGCGCCCCCACTCACTCTCCACTACTACCCCACCACCTAGATTCACCACTAGCCTGAATTGTGAGTTAATCATTCCTGAGTTCCTCTTTATGGGTTTGTCACATCTGTTATTATCAATATGTTGCTGCAGTTTGCTAGTTTTAAGCAAAGTATAAATGAAAGCATATTGTATGTGAGCTTCTAAGACTTGTCTCTCAAGATTTTGATTTTGAGATTCATCCCCGTTGACTCATGTGGCTGTAGTTCACCCATTTTTTCATCACCGTTTAGTTCTTCTCATTGCATGAACATACCCACAATTTACTGCTCTATTCTACTGTTGAGGAGCCTCTGGGGATTCTTCAGCTTTGTGCTATTCTGAATAATGCTGCCATTTACATTCTAGTGCTTGTCTCCTGGTGCACACAGGCAAGAGTTTCTCCCGGGTATATACCTAGGAGAGGAGAGCAGGGCTTGGGACTGCACATGTTCGACTCCACTAAGTAATGCCAAATTGTTTCCCAAAGTGGTTGTGTGCAATTGACTCCTTAGCCGCCTATCCAGTCTCTCTCCAAATAAGAGGCATGCTTGTTTTGCTAATTACCAGGAAAGCTTTCAACCAACAAAAGGGAAAGCTTTTCCTATTTGCAGCATCACTACTGCAAATAAATAGTACTCCAAAGCAGTGACCCAGACAGCTGGAACATATTAGTCACAGGACATCATCAGTACAGACTTCAGAATAATAATGCAAACCCCGCCAACACCACACATTGCCCACGGGCATAAGTCAAATTTGATTTCTAGATGTACAGTAAATTCAGAGACTGTTTTCCTCCTGGTGGATTCAAATACTATGGTCCCACCTTATTGCTGTGATCTTGAAGGGGGAAAAAAAATAGCTCACATGCAACCTGGTCAAATTCGAGATTAAAGCAGGAGAGTCAAACTGTTTCCATGATATAGTGGTGTGGCTTTTTTCTTAAACAGAAAGCTGGTTATGTTTTTCAAATTTTCACCTCTAAGAAAAATTGCTATTTACTAGGACTGATTTTATTTACAGCAATTCTACAAAAAGTTCTCAATTATTTTCTATTAACAAAGATGTCCTTTATAGATTTAGTTAATCCAATTTCTTAGGCGGCAATGGTAACTTTTATAACTTAATCTGTATTTCTAGTAAAAATGTGAAAGCAAATGCTTCTACTGGCATTAAATATAAATAATGAGAAATTCTTTCAATGTGGGGAGTAAGGAAAGAAAAAATGTTATTATAAAGTTCAAGGTCATGGTTCATATGTCATGGAAAGAAACAATGGCATAGATGACCAAAATGAGGTCATTTCAATTCAATCTCTTGACAGTTCTTGTCTCTTTAAAATCATTTATCCCTATGAGATAAGAACTGTTATGATACTCATTTTGCAGATGGAGGAAACTGAGGCACAGAAAGGAATTAAGTTGTGCAGTCATAGAGCCACTAAGTGGTAGAACCCAGATGTGAACCCAAGCAGTTTACTCTAGAGTCCATATCCTTAACCATGACTCTGGGCAGCTTCTTCAGTCCCCCAAGACTAGTCAGAAGGTCCTGCGATGATAATAGTAGCTACCTGTTACTAAGTTCTCCAA